TGATCACTTTGGGGATGTTGAAATGGAACAAATCACGTGTTGCTGCTGAAATCCCAAGGTATGGGAAGAAGGTGCCGAAAATCGTGAACGTGAAAGTGAGCCCTAGGCCTATTCAGCAGCCAAGGTAGANGAGGAGAATAAGAACGAGCTGATCACTTTGGGGATGTTGAAATGGAACAAATCACGTGTTGCTGCTGAAATCCCAAGGTATGGGAAGAAGGTGCCGAAAATCGTGAACGTGAAAGTGAGCCCTAGGCCTATTCAGCAGCCAAGGTAGAGCGAATCACAACTCGGAAGCACCTGACTCACTGAGTTAGCTAAATCTGTTTAGTTAGTGTTTCATGTACATAGCTTGTTTAACTTGTTTCATATCCTGCACTTTGTACCTTGTTTTTCCAATAAATGCCAAAACAAAAATAGATGCACAAAATGGAGCAAATGTTACTAGAACCAATATTGTGATTAGTACCTTAAATTTAGATTTTGGTTGATCTATCGAGATTTAGAGTGTAAAAGTACTTCCAAAATCTCCATCAAATGAGCAATAAGATACATAAAGATCAAACTAGGAGAACCTATAGATAGGTATAATATAATAAAATGGGCAAGGTCGTCTTGCACGCTCTAATTAAGCAGTGGATTAGAGATTAGTAAGTTGATTGTTGATCCCAGTTGGTGGCTTGTTTCCCTATCTTGTGAAGACATTTGATGACCTCTTCAGTAGTTACATTTCCAGTTACTGTCACCTTATTCAGTTGTGTATCCACATCATATGTTTCAATATCTGCCATACTCCATCCAATTTGAAGGGGAAAAAAAATTAAAAATCCAGATTTTCACTAATAGAATTTCAAAATACCATATTCTGGTGGTAGTTGAAGAAATTTTTAGGAATTTGAAGATGTGCAAGGACTTGTTTTACCTTCGATTTTCTTGATTGCCTTCAAGATTTTCTTGATGCATTCGTCGCAGTGCAGGCCTACTTTAAGCTCCACCACCTAGTGCACAAATGAAAAGTAAATTTCATACTGATTGCTAGAATAGAAAGATTAGAAGTTTGATTGAAAAACCTGCTATACGAATGGTTTTGAGGTACTAAGTACTAACATTGGCCATTACAGTTGCTACGTTTCGAAACTTCTTAATTTGCAGAGCTGCCAAGCAATAACTGATGCTAGTTAGAGACGAATGAAGAGATGATGAATGATTTGAATGTTTTTTGAAACAGTTGGAAAAATTTAAAGGAAGAGGGTGGGGTATAGGATTCTTTTCTTTGAGTGATTGAGGATTTTTCACTTTGCCAAAAGCTCCTTTAGAACCCTTTTTCCTGGACGCGTAGGGCATTAGTCTCCGTTCATTCAGGGCCGTGAAAATTGACATTAGCCTAATATTCTTGAAATGATAAATAGAGCAATAACGTTAGGAAAAACATGATGCTGTTATGAAATAAAAGTAATTTAGTAAAACATGAACAAGAAATAAAGACAATTTAGTAAAATATGAACAAGAAATAGAGATAGAGAGAAAGGAAGAGATTTTCTTCTTAAATTGTGTGTATTTTCCTATCTATTACAAAGCCTTTATATAGGCATGAAAAGTGAAGAAAATATGTCATGAAATATGTCATTGAAATATGTCATTGAATATGTCATTGAATATGTCATTAACCATTTGAGAGAAAGATCATGGAGGAAGAGTAGACATCCACCATATTTTGATTTTATCATAACACTCCCCCTTGGATGTCCATAAATAATGTGCCTCGTTAAAACCTTATTAGGAAAAAAACCCTATGGGAAAAAAAAATCCTAATTAAGGAAAAAGAGTACACATATTTAGAAATACGCCTTTTGGTTGCCTCGTTAAAAACCTTGCAAGGAAAACCCAATGGGACAAAACCTTGTAAGGAAAAAAGAGTACAACGCGTATTAACTCCCCCTGATGAGATCATCAGTTCACATCGTTGAGCCTTCGTATCCCAATCTTGTACACTAGTTTCTTGAAGGTTGATGCCGGTAGATATTTGGTGAACAAATCAGCCATATTATCACTTGAACGGATCCGTTGCACATTAATATCACCATTCTTTTGAAGATCATGTGTGAACAATAATTTAGGTGAAATGTGCTTTGTCCTAGCTCCTTTATGAATCCTCCCTTTAATTGGGCTATGCATGTTGTATTTTCTTCATACAAAACTGTGGGTAGTTTATCACACTTCAAACCACATTTGTCTTGAATAAGATGTATTGTAGACCTCAACCATACACATTCTCGACTTACTTCATGAATAACAATTATCTCAGCATGATTAGAAGAAATAGCCACAATTGATTGCTTAGTCGATTGCCAAGATATGACAGTGCCTCCACATGTAAACACATAGCATGTTTGAGATCAAGCCTTGTGTGTGTCAGATAAATATTCTACGTCGGCATAACCAACAAGATTGGGATTGCAATCATTGCCATAAAATAAGCCCACATTGGTAGTCCCTTTTAGATAACACAATATGTGTTTGATTTCACTCCAATGTCTTCTTGTAGGAGCAGAGCTATATATTGCTAAGACATTAACTGAAAACGTTATGTCACGCCTTGTAGTGTTAGCAAAATACATTAGTGCATCAATTGCACTAAGATATGGTACTTCAGGACCAACAAGTTCTTCATTATTTTCATGAAGTCGGAATGGATCTTTATTTATATCGAGTGATCTCACAACCATCGGGGTACTAAATGGATGTGCTTTATCCATATAAAATTGCTTTAAAATATTTTTAGTGTATGTTGATTGATTGATAAAATTTCATCTTTCATATACTCAATTTGTAGACCAAGACAAAAAGTCTTTCCAAAATTTTTCATTTCAAATTCTTTCTTTAAACAGTCTACTGCTTTAGGAAGCTGCCTGGGAGTTGTAATGATATTTGAATCATCAACATACACAGAGATTATAACAAATTCAAATCCAGATCTTTTGATAAAGATACAAGGACAATTGAATCATTCTTGTACCCTTCTTTCAATAGGTACTCACACGGGCAATTATACCACATGCGCCCTGATTGTTTCAATTCGTATAAGGATTTTTGAAGCTTTATTTAATAAATTTCTTGGAAACATTAATATGCTTCAGAACAATTTTAATCCTTCAATGATTTCCATGATACNATTCAAATCCAGATCTTTTTATAAAGATACAAGGACAATTGAGTCATTCTTGTACCCTTCTTTCAATAGGTACTCACACGGGCAATTATACCACATGCGCCCTGATTGTTTCAATTCGTATAAGAATTTTTGAAGCTTTATTTAATAAATTTCTTGGAAACATTAATATGCTTCAAAACAATTTTAATCCTTCAATAATTTCCATGATACGCATATCAAGTTTTCATGTATTGCCAGATTAAAACCTGAAATAATTATATCAACCATAAGAGAACATGTCTCCATATAATCAATGTGAGGATATTCACTATTTTCTTGTGTCACAAGTCGTCTGTATGTCTATCGACTTGAACTTTTTGCACAAGAATACATTTATACCTCCATTGGCTTTATACTTTCATGTGTTGGAACTATCCACGCAACTTCACATTTTTTCAAGTGAAGTCAATTTTCATTGCTTATTTTTCATTTGTCCAATCATTTATGTGTCCAAATTTCATGACAGATTTGAGCTCAAGATCCTCGTCAATATTAATAATATTGAGTGCTACATTATGTTAACAATATCATCGACGATCACTTTACGTCGGTTCCATTATTACCTAATAAAGACATAACTTATTGAGATCTTTTTATCTCATTATTTTCAGGTACCTGAGCCTCTCCCATGAGGTCTTATGAAGTGTTATGTCGTGGTGCTCTTCTAGGGCACTTGCCTCCTTATTATGACTATTTTGAATATTTGCCCCTCTCCTTCTTCAAAGAGTTTTATCTTTGGAACCGATTGGTCTGTTACACTTCATACGTGCCATAGACTTTGTCCCTCATATACTTTATTCTATTTGGAGCATTAGCAGCTGAAATATGACATTTAGCTTTGGGTCAGCAAATGC